TTTACTTCACACCTTTCCAATTTCTCCAAAAAGTCGTAGAGTTTTTCAAAAATAATCTCACTCAAAAAAGATTTTATTTTTAAAATATTTTAACAAATACTAAAATTAAAAAGGCCATCACCTAGTGTGAGTTCTACTAAGGTGGGTGCTAAATAAGAAAAATTAGTATTGCCTAAGCTTTGGCATTGTGATTTTGTTGCTCTTAGAACTCATGCTAGGTAGCCTTTCACCCTTGCACCTTTTTATCGTCCCTTGATAAGAAAATGACCACAAGCAATTATTGGTCCTTGGAAAACAATTGCATAGGCAACGAGTCTTAAAATGTTCACTATAATTTTTGGACATTTGTAAAGGTTACACTAGACAGTTTTTACGCGAAAGACAACATATATGTCTGCATAAATTCATACTACTACCATAATTTGAACCCTACGCCTACCCCTACCCTCTGGCCTTGACTATAAATACCAAGGTACGTATTTGATATAGGTACCAAATGCGAAGAACTCTTGCAGATGATCTCTCTTAAAACTGAATTATAATTCAGATAGGTCCAATTTTTCGTGGCTGCTCACGTATGTTGTGCTGGCATATGTACGGTCATTGCATCAAGAAGGATAATGGCATGTCATTTTAGTTCTATGATCTTTTGCCAATACATTAAAATTTTTTTATAATGAAAAATACAATTCAGTTGCTTCCCGTTAATGTCCTCACCACTAGCTCTGCCAAACTGCTACATCCTACTACGGTGCCACCAGTACCAAATAACAACACCACCATTGCCATCATGTAATATAGTTTATCCCCCCGAAGATTTCTCTCTCTCTCTCTCTCTCTCTCTCTCTCTCTCTCTCTCTCTCTCTCGTGTTTCTTGCATTGTAATTCAAATGTATTAGTTACATTTTCCATGTTCTAGAATCTAGATACTGAAATTGATACTGGTATAAGAAATTGATACTTTCTTTCACATATAGTTTTTGAAAAGATGTCGACAATGAAACTTATAGTTAGAAATCTATTAGTTCCCAAATTCTAGATTTATTAACTGTCATGCAGCCATCTTTGTGATTGCCTTTTTTTCTTTCCTTCCTTTTGCAGAGGCTATACCGCCCCAGAATACGCCATTAGAGGAGAATTGTCTGAAAAAGCGGATATATATAGTTTTGGAGTTCTAGTTCTTGAAATTATTAGCTGCAGGAAAAATACAGATCTTACTTTGCCATCAGAAATGCAATACCTCCCCGAATATGTAGGCATTTTACCTTTCCAGATTTTTTTATGATGTTTTCATGGTCAACTTCATCATCATGAGTTAAAATTGCTAATGATTTTAAATATATCTTATGGTAGGCATGGAAGCTGTATGAGAGGTCAAATGTGATAGATCTAGTGGATCCAAACATGCGTGCGGATGGATTTGAGGAGAACGTTGTTTTGCATGCAATCAATGCTGCCTTCTTATGCCTTCAGCCTCATGCAAATTTAAGACCACCCATGTCAGAAATTGTAGCAATGTTAACATGCAAGGCCGAAGTGGCGAGAACACCTATGAAACCAGCATTCTTGGATCGAAGGTGGAGGAAGGGTGAGAAGCTTTCTTGGGATACCATATCAGATGTTTTTCCAGCATCACTGAAGAGTGATTCCCCTGCCTTGCCTCAACCTCCAAACTAAAGGTTGCGCTTTTACGCTGCATATTTCCATGCAAATTGATCAAATAAAACCTATATTGTGAATCTTTGATGAAATTTGCAAAATTTCTAGAAAAGGTTCTGCTTTGGTCCCCTTTTTTAATCTTGGATCAGTAGTTCTGCGGATTTAATTTTTCTACACAGATATCTATTTAGAGATGTAGACAATAGACATGTACAGAAATGGATTTGCAGGATGGGAAAATGTATAGGATCGTGTAATTGTTTTTTGTGGGCAGGGAGGAGTATAGTTTTCCATTTTTGGAAACAAATTAAGGGGTAGGTGCTGCAATTAGGTTCTTAAAGAGAATTTTTTATTTCCAGGGAGTTGTTTCTACAGTTGCATTGTTCCAACAAATGTTCAGTTGTGTTTATGACTGTAAAAGCTCCATTGCATTGCTTTCATTCCAAAAATATTCATGCTGTTAAGTGGCATAGCAAAATCTTTGTAGAATGGAATCTCGATACATAACTATAGACACATTCTAAATTGATACGGATCCTACCGCTTTAGTGTCCATTCATTCAAGTAATAAACTGGGGTGTCAAATCCAAGAACCAATCCATCCAAAACATAAATTAGGTTACTTATCATTTACCTTTTCTAGAACTCGTTATGTGCATGTGGGAAAAACTCCCTTACTCTCAACTTCATTTGAAAATAGAGTGTTTGTTAAGGCTATAACTTGCACTACTCTTTGATACCTTTGGAAGTAGTTCCATCGAATTTGAGCAAATTTCTGAAAACTACAGTAGTGCAGATGGTGAATTTGTGACCGAAAATGCAGTTTTATAATATACTAGATGATGTAGCTATTGTGATAAAACTCCCCCGAGTAACAAGTTTGGAGTAAATGTACACGAAATTACAATCGTGGAAAGAAAAAATCACCATTTTTTTTATTTCTCTCTCTCTCTCTCTTCTTCTTTTTTCTTTTTTTTTTCTTTTTCGCTTCCTCCATTTTGTCCCTTTCGTTTCCTCTATTTCTTTAACCGGTCCCATCACTCTGCATTTCAAAACCGCTACTTGCATGAGCTAAGGAGAACGACCAAGAAATATGTTGAAACTTCACATGTGAGAATACAATATCTAATTGTAAATGAATTAGAAAAGTCTTACTATACTTTGATTAGATTTATTAGGGATCAAATCAAAGAGGAAATAAATTGGACTAATCCTTATATGCCATGAATATCTATTAGACATCTAATTGAAAATATAGAGGTTAAGTTTTATATGAATTGGTTTGGGTGATAATATTTTATCCCAATAAATAAAGTTTAGTATTACAATGACCAATTTTTCAATTAAAAATTCATTGATGAGATTTTTTGATCCGTAGATATAAATATGATGCATCAATGAGTATATTATATCGAACCATATTATTTTTTATTTTATTATTTTTCTACCTTAAATTCCTAATTTCCAACAATTAATATCAATATTAATTATATACGTGGTATGGTTTATAAGACTTACATCCATGGACCAAATGCTTGTGCATATTCTTTTTCTTCTTTGGTTTCATGTCATAGGTTTTTGCAACATGGTGAGTGGTGCCTGGTTTTTTTTTCTTTTTTGTTTTCATGTAAATAAACATTTAATAAAAAAAGATATAACAAAATATTCAATACATATTTTAAGGCCACATTGAGCATGATTTTGAAAGAATTACTAACAATATACGCCGTTCATATTTAAAAAATTGAATTTACTCTCACTACTCAGAGAGACTAGGTAGTGTCTTCTCAAGTCCGAATATCATAGGAGTAAGCATTTCCTCTTTAAAAAAAATCCAAGGGAATAGCAGCAAATATCATCATGAACCGAGTGAATATGTATAAATAACAATTTATCTTCATAAATTTTGACTTGTTCTTTCTTCAAAGTTGTGAAAGGTGAACTACACAACTTATTATTAACTACTATGGTAATGGGAATGACATTTTAATATGCGAAAGTTGTAATAAACCCTTTTCTTGTCACATGTTTTCCTGTGCTATCACAGGATTTTACGCAATTCTGAAGTTTGAATTCCCAACAGGAAAAAGAAACAGATTCTTTCAACACGAAGGTCTGGTATAATAATATGTGTTGGTCGCAACAGACAAAACATAGAACTTAACAACCAAAAACCAAAACAGGCAAACTTTGTAGGGAAATTTGGAAGCTGGTCCCCTATGTGAATTTGCTAGAAGATAAGTCTGACAAATAAAATTATTGGAGTCTAAGCCCGTGTTTAAACTTATATGTAGGTACTTAAGTCTATTTTTTTTTAAATCTTAATATTATCCCTAACAGTGTTAATTTTGTCAAATTATGGAAAGTCCAATAGGTTAGATCTTTAAAGTATATATAGAAACCTTAGTTTGAGTTATATATGGAAATCATTTTTCATTAAAAATCCTGATAATTAAATAAAGAATATATGAAATGTATACATTCTGCTAGCTATATATAAAAACCTGATTGACGAATTAATTCATATCACAAGTTTTCCTTATCAATTCAAATTCGAATTCTTAATCAATTTTAGTTCATTATGCTTTTGAATAATAGGCTTTTGTGTTTCACAGGGGGTTTGAGGTGATAAAAGCAGTCGTGAGACCTTGTGTTACTAATGATGTTACTGCCAAGATTACTATTTAATGATCCTTACATACAGTAACCAATCGTGCAACAATGTTACAAATTCACTTGGTAATGAATAATTACAATGGATTTCAACATATCAATTCCACATACAACACAATTTTAGCATTTTAAAATTAAATGGTTATGTTAGTTGAAACATTTTTTAACATGTTACTGTTTAAGTTACTGCTGCGCTTACAAATTGGACAGAATTTCCTTTGTTTTTCAAATGTTCCATTACAAACAAATTTTCAAACCTACATCAACATATCAATTTAATATTAAGATGTAACATCCAAACCACAATTCTACATGTTTGAATACTCCATTTAAACANAAAAAAAAAAAAAAAAGTTGACAGTTTGAATGATAAATCAAGTTGTTTTTTTAGATCTTTAAGCTAGTTATTAAACTTATATAAGTCAGATCATCATCAACACAAACAATCCCTCAATTACATAGAAATGCCACAAAACACAGACAAAAAAAGGTACCCACAAGAACCCTATTTTCTCGTCCATTTCCTCTCCTCAGTCTCAAAAAAAAAACAGAAAAACAAACACACAAAAACATACATTTAAGACAAAAATTGAAAAGTGTTTGTGGAAAAAGAGAGTACCAAAATGCACAGCCAATGTGATGGTTGAATTGAGGATCAAGGATGATCATTAGAGAGCTTTGACGACACTAGAAGTGGCATTTGAGTCATTATCATCAGCAGAATCAAGTGGGTTTGGATTGAGAGGGGCACGAATGGTGTCATCATCGGGGTTATAATATGGGTTGAGGTTGCGATCTATGGCTTCACGACCCTTTTCGAGACATGGTTTACAGACCATTTCTATGGGCTATCCAACACAGTGCCAGTCCCGCTATTGCTATGATTGTTGCCGTCAGTGCCCCCGTCTCTCTCTCTAGTTTCTTTGATTTTTGCTCTTGGGTTTTGGGAATTAAGAGAGAGGAAACGATAAATCATGTAAAGATTTCTTTAAAACCCTTAAAGAAACCTTTTGTATGGAGAAGGAAACTCTGTTGCATGGACGGTTATTGCCAGATTTGAAGCCTATTATTCAGGAGTGTATATTGTTGAATGAGTTTTGTCCATCTGTGTAGAAGACGGTCAAGGCAGACTTTAGTTATGCCTTTTCCAAAAAGTAGGGGTAATATAGTAAACTTGAAGAAAAGTGGACTTAAAACCAAATAAGTTTTTTTGTCGGACTTATCTCCAAACAAGTCCATCTAGGAGGACCCACTCCCAATTTTCACTACTTTGTATCAAAGAAAGTAGCCTAAATATATACCATATAGGTTAAAGGAAGGATGTTTTTATGTTGGAAGATGTTTGTCAATGTGAGACCCAATATATTTATTTAAATTAAATGTTAGTCATAATGTTAAATAGTTTAAAGGATAAATTACATTGACACCCCTGTAGATTAGTCTAACTACAGAGACATCCCCTCAATTTTTTGAAATTATACTGACAACCCCTGTCAAGTTGTGTCCCTTAACAAATATAACAAAAAATGCGATTTTCTATAATTACCATTATCATACACAATTTTTTACTTATCATTCTCTCATATATTTAAATACTAATAAATGANAAAAAAAAAAAAAAAAGTTGACAGTTTGAATGATAAATCAAGTTGTTTTTTTAGATCTTTAAGCTAGTTATTAAACTTATATAAGTCAGATCATCATCAACACAAACAATCCCTCAATTACATAGAAATGCCACAAAACACAGACAAAAAAAGGTACCCACAAGAACCCTATTTTCTCGTCCATTTCCTCTCCTCAGTCTCAAAAAAAAAACAGAAAAACAAACACACAAAAACATACATTTAAGACAAAAATTGAAAAGTGTTTGTGGAAAAAGAGAGTACCAAAATGCACAGCCAATGTGATGGTTGAATTGAGGATCAAGGATGATCATTAGAGAGCTTTGACGACACTAGAAGTGGCATTTGAGTCATTATCATCAGCAGAATCAAGTGGGTTTGGATTGAGAGGGGCACGAATGGTGTCATCATCGGGGTTATAATATGGGTTGAGGTTGCGATCTATGGCTTCACGACCCTTTTCGAGACATGGTTTACAGACCATTTCTATGGGCTATCCAACACAGTGCCAGTCCCGCTATTGCTATGATTGTTGCCGTCAGTGCCCCCGTCTCTCTCTCTAGTTTCTTTGATTTTTGCTCTTGGGTTTTGGGAATTAAGAGAGAGGAAACGATAAATCATGTAAAGATTTCTTTAAAACCCTTAAAGAAACCTTTTGTATGGAGAAGGAAACTCTGTTGCATGGACGGTTATTGCCAGATTTGAAGCCTATTATTCAGGAGTGTATATTGTTGAATGAGTTTTGTCCATCTGTGTAGAAGACGGTCAAGGCAGACTTTAGTTATGCCTTTTCCAAAAAGTAGGGGTAATATAGTAAACTTGAAGAAAAGTGGACTTAAAACCAAATAAATTTTTTTGTCGGACTTATCTCCAAACAAGTCCATCTAGGAGGACCCACTCCCAATTTTCACTACTTTGTATCAAAGAAAGTAGCCTAAATATATACCATATAGGTTAAAGGAAAGATGTTTTTATGTTGGAAGATGTTTGTCAATGTGAGACCCAATATATTTATTTAAATTAAATGTTAGTCATAATGTTAAATAGTTTAAAGGATAAATTACATTGACACCCCTGTAGATTAGTCTAACTACAGAGACATCCCCTCAATTTTTTGAAATTATACTGACAACCCCTGTCAAGTTGTGTCCCTTAACAAATATAACAAAAAATGCGATTTTCTATAATTACCATTATCATACACAATTTTTTACTTATCATTCTCTCATATATTTAAATACTAATAAATGAGTTATTTTCGAGTTTAATCCGTCAAATCTGAAATTGACACGATCAACCTGTTTATTTGATTATGTCGAACTTCCTCTATCTTCTCATTTGTATATTAACACAAACACCATGAAATTTACATGATCAACATGTTAACTGGTATTATAAAGATAAAATATTAACTATTTGTTGCTGTTTATTAAACATTGACATAATTATTGTATAAAAAAAATATTTTTACTCATTATTATTGTTATGTTTATTAAGTTAATTTTTAGTTTATAGAAAAAGTATGAGCATAAATTCAATTAAGAGCTAACAAAATCTTAGACTTAAATCTTAACATTAAATTTTTTTATTCAAAGTTTATATGGGTCAATACGAATACGAATACACCTGACGAGTAGTCCAGCAGTATGGGATTGAACCCAGACGAACTGTAGACCCGGATGTCAGGGGTTCGACCCTCGTTGGTGTCTCTCGGGCTTAACTAATACCTGTGGTTTGCGGGTTATTGTAGGTATCCGGGGCAGGGATGGGTCCAAAGTGGCCTTGCCATGGATAGATTCCACGTTATTAAAAAAAAAAAATGAATATGAACACGAATGCGACATGAAAATAAACAAGTTAGCCTACTTTTTTTCAATGGGGTAATACGAGTATTAAAGTGTAAAGAATTGATGATGTAATCATTTTTTTGACATTGCCAATAACAATACTACCCATAGGGGTACTTTGTGAAATGGGTAGGTAAATAGTAAGGAGTGTCAGTGTAATTTTAGAAAACTAAGGTATTCTCTCTATAATTAGACTAATCTACAGGGGGTGTTTATGTAATTTACCCTAGTTCAAATTATTATTGAGAAGCCTAACTTGATGTAGGAAAAGCACTGTGTAAATTGATGTTGCACGAACAATTTGGGCTTTTGCGTTAAATGGACATTCTTGGAGTGATCATGCTTAGGAGATAGTAGTTTAGTAAATCTAGAGGTATTTAGGAGAAAATAACATTAAAAATGGTTCCGATTTATCAAAAATCCTAGAAAGGTCATATGGGTCAAATCTTGAGGAGGTAGAGGCTAGTTTACGTCAAAATTGCGTTTGGGCATAAACTAGGGATAGTTTGAATGCAAGATTTTCATCCAGACGAGAGTTTGAAATTGTTGGCAGTGAGTGATGTCTGTCTGAATTCCACTGTGCAAGCAAGATTCGTTGGATTAGCTCACTTTTCTGTAGGTTGTATATTCACTTATGTAGCTTTCTTGATTGCCTATACATCATACAAATTGGTTAATTTATTATCATGTATCCGTGATAACCTCATTTCTTTCAATGGAGAAGAGGTTCACCTTCTTATATTTCTATATCTAGGATCCGACTTGTATCATGGATACTAATAGGAACTAAACCATTATGGCAAGGAAAAGTTTAATTCAAAGGGAGAAAAAAAGGAAAAAATTGGAACATAAATACCATTTGATTCGTCGATCCTCAAAAAAAGAAATAAGCAAAGTTCCGTCATTGAGTGACAAATGGAAAGTTTATGGAACGTTACAATAACACGTAAGAAACTACAAAGAACATATTAGAATCTATTTTGCTGAATCAAGATAGAGTTTTCTTTTCCCTTTCTAATCATTGAAGCTATGGCTATACATATCTAATTTTTGACTTGCATCCATATAAATATTGTAAATCTAGATTAGTTTTGATCTCCTTGAAACTTATGTTACCATTTGATCGAAAAATACTTGATTTTCATTCTATGTGTGTTTTGAGTCCTCAAAACCCTAGATATTTGAATGATGGAAACTTGCCAATGTTGATTTACGATCTCGTACCTATTTTCACTATGTTCTTACTTGTTTTAATGAATACCAAAAATGTCGTTTATTTCATTACTTGATTTGATTTTACAAGCAAGATTTAGTCTCCTGGATTATTGGTTTCATGAACTTGAATGAACCCGACCAATATCGCAAAGTGTGTAGGCATGTTTCTTACCATGAGGGGTTTCAAAGTTTCCTACCAATCGTAGTGGATGTGTTGGTTCTTGGTGCAGTTATGAGGGTTTCCACTATTTCTTCACACTGACCAAAATACAGAGTTAGCAGACATGTTTGGTTCCTTGTGGGGTTCCAAAGGTTCCTACTACTCCTTGGGAGAATTGTTAAGATATTGATGCATCAATATCGGTTCTTCCTAAAGCTCTCTAGGGATTGATATGATTTATGATTTGTGTGTAAATATTATTGCTAATCAAAGTGCTTATCTTTTTGACTGAGTATCTGAGCTATCCCAATTCATTCATAAAATACATGAGGTCGTCTTTACTTGCATTTTTTTTCTTTCAAAAGTTATATATTTATTTTAGAAACTGTAACTTGTTTTTATACATTTTATAAATCTTGTTTAGGCTTCGAAAAGTTTACTCTATTGAGCTAGTTGTGCTCACATGTTCTTTACCTTTTTTAGATTTGCGTGTGGAGACTGAGACAAGATTAGTTAAGGATGAGGACTTTGATTTTGAGACAGATCGGAATGTTGATCCTCAAGTTTAGTTTGATAACTGTTAACTTAAGTTTGTTCAATGTTTCATTTTGTGCAAACAGGAGTTATGGATTTCGAGATTCGAGTAGTTTATGAGACATTATCATTTTTTTTTGGGGTTTCAAATGTAAGATTTTAATGGTGAATTTATGTTTTGGGATTTTTAGTTAGAAAGTGTTTGATGTTACTTTTGGGTTTGGAATTGAATGGATGGATGATCTTAATTGTTAGTTAGTTAAGAATACTTTTAGAGGTTGCTTGTTCCATTCGGTTACAAGCCTGATATTTTTAAGTTTAAACTCTTCCCTTTTATTCTTTTAAAAAGATTTTTCTCATGGAAAATGTCACAATTTTCTTTAAACTTATTTATGAAATGGAGGAAATTTTGAATCAAAAAGTTATTCTTTAAATAACACTATTTTTTTTGTTGAAATTCAGGGCATGATAGTTAAATAATGGAGACAAAGATGAAATCTAGAATCTAAGGCACGAATGAATTCATTATCTTTAAAATAAATTTGTCGCCCTTCCAATAATAATTGTAAGGGCAAAAAGGATTGGAAGAAAAATTGTCCCCACTGTATAATGGACCAGATTCATCTTTTACTATTCAAGGATTTGCAAAACCTAAGAATAGCCCAAACTTTCAGAATGAAAGAAGAATAACGCCCCAAGAAAGCAAGATTTTTTGGGAGGAGGAAGAGTAGAAATATTTTGATGTATAAGAAATGTGATAAATGCACTACTATTATGAAGAACGAAGACGTGGACACCCATTCACTATAAGACACCATTTCATGAAAAGATCTTTCCATTAAATTGGAAGTCATTTTTTTCATAAAGACACATTTTCGTATCAAGACAGATATACATGAAAAGACATATTCATAAGAAAATATGCAAAAGACATCCATTCATTAAAAGCCACTTTTTCATGGAAAGACACTTATTTATTACAACACATGAAGAGTTATAATTATACACATTCACCTATTCATTCTTTCATGGAAGGCCACGAATTCGTAACAATATATGAAGGGTTATAACTTTACAAATTATTAAAATGTCTAACATTTTATAAGTGAGAAGAGTAGATGAATAGTTTCTTAATTTCTCGTAAAGAAGAAGAAAACAAAAATAAATTTGAAGAAAAGAAAAAATATTGACCTAAACAAGAGGGGCAGAAAGAGGACGCCTATTTGTGTGTGTGTGTGCGAGAGAGAGAGAGAGAGATTTGAATACAACTACATGGTTAGAATTTATTGAACACTAACTTTGGCTTTCTCTATCACTATCCTTCAGAGAAACTATACTTTCACCTCTCAATTATGGTTTCAATTTTATCAATTGTTGAATTTGTGAGACTCAATCACGCATTGCATGCATATTAATATTATTTTGTGGGTTAAATCATAATTATGTAACATTATTTTAGGGTTAATTAAATTAATATTTCATAGCTATGATGTATGTGTGCATGCATAGAGGATGTGGACCCCATTAGTGATGTATTTGTGAAAATTCATATATAGGAATTTTATGTGTGAAAATACTAGTGGATCGATTTGAAATCATTTAAAAACTTGAGGGGTGGTAAGCGTAATTAACCCATTACATGGGTGACCTTTACATGTGTTGGCCTTAGGAAAAGTAAAAAAAAAATACAAAAGAGAAAGAAAAAGCTTGGTGTGCCGTGTGTGTGTG